ATGGGCCCAGGGTGGTGAGACCACCTTGTCGATCGTGAGTGCTCCCTGGTTTTGTTTAGTTTACACATGGCGTCTTATCGTGGGTTGCTGTGAGTGCCTGCCCTCGAACGGTCTGGCGTCATCGTGGTCTCTTCTCGGCACCTAGGTGACTGGCAACAGGTACAGAGACCCAGGAAACAGGAGAAGGCGCAGGCTCGAGACAGAGCAGGGAGGATGAGCCGCGGATTATTAAAGCCCCAGACAGAATACACACATTTACTGATCACGTCTATGCCAGGCGCTGTTGCTAGCGGATTAAGTCATCAGTCCTTGCAGCAACCCTACATCAGAAGTACCATGCTAACTATTGGACATAAGAGGAACTGAGGCAGGAAATGCTCCAGTACTTGCCGAGGGGTCTCAGAATCAATGCGCAGGCCGGATATGATGAAGCCAGAACGTTGGTGTGGCCTCCCTGCCCAGAGCGTCAACCCAGCGTCTGCCAATGGATGTCACCGACAGATCAGGCTCGACCCAGGCCTAGACAGAGGGCCACCTGGCCTTGGGCAAGTCACTGCCCTCTGTCACCTCAGTTTCACGTGTCAAGGAGGGAGGCTTGACCTAGAGGGGTGGTCCTCACGCCTGGCGTCCCAGAGTGCTCGTGAAGACACACGTGTCCGGCACCACCCCTGGGGGGGTCTGGGTAGGGCCCAAGAATGGGGGCTCCTGCCAAGCGCTCAGGTGCTGCAGGTCTCAGCAACCCCCTTTGAGAACTGCTGCTCTACCTGACCTTTGGGGCTCTTTCGGCCTCTCAGGTTCGAGGATTCTTGTTTGCTAACATTTCCAGAGATTTCCATGCAGTCACTAAACATGAAGTGTAAAGAGAGGTGTCACGGCATGACGGCACGTTCATGGCATTCCAGACCACGAAAGGGTAGGCCTTATAGGCACCCTTTTTTAAAAAATTAAAAAATTTACAAATGAACAACCAGGTGGAAAAACATTAAAAATAAATTGAAAAATTCATAGTAAATACACATTTGCTTTTTGAAAAAAATATTTATAGATATAGTAAATCTATCTGTTGATCTACTTATTTTTCAAAACCTTAAAGGAAATAGACCCAAATATTAACAGTGCTTAAGAGACGGAAACGGAGTTGATTTTTTTTTTTTCAAAGTAAGCATGAAATGAGGTTTATTGAGGACAGAAAGGATTGCAGAACAAGAGCAAGATGCAGGCTTACAGAGTAAGATGCACTTGCTACAGAATTGCGAAAAGGGCTTCTTGCAACAAAAAGGGCTATAGCTGATTTTGATTTCCTTCCATGTTCTCATTTGCACTTCCAAATTTTATGTGTCATTTAATGTACACACACCCATACAAATATAGATTGCACAGCACCTTTGTAACCAGGAGAAACAGACACGGAAGCTATCCTTGGCTTCCCAAAGGCTCCCAAGGCAATTCCTCAGCTGAAAAGCTCCAAGCTGGCCTTTCTCACGATGAGCGCTCCCGGTCCTCCTCCCCTCGTGGAAAACACCCGGCCCTCCCGTCAGAAGGAGCGAATGCTCCCCCAAACCGGGACTGCCCTTTAGCGTCCGAGCAAGATGACACCAGCAAAGTGACAATGCAAAAGAGGAGGAGAAAGCAAGAGAAATGACAGACGAAGAAAGCGAGTCACAAGCTCCTCCGGGGGTCCTTGCTACAGAAGGTCCCACTCTGGGGCTGTCGGACGCGGGCACCACCTGCTGAAACCCCACCTGCGGGGACTTGAGAGGAAATCCCAAGGGACCCTGCGACGCCCTGCGAGGGTGCGTGTGCACGAGTGGGCGCTCACGCACGCTTCTCTATTTTGCAATTGATTTAGCAACCACACCTTTGCACGAACATATCACGCGTTCTGCAGACTAAGCCCACTGCGCCCAGGGGAGCCTTCCCGACACTTCCCTCCCGGCCACGGTGAGAGGGTGACCCTCTCCCCTCGGAATCTGAGCGATACGCTGTAAGCGCACGTCTAGACTTTCACGGAGAGTGTGTCTGGATCCTTCCTGTATGCCGTTTTCCAGACTTTCCAAAAATAATTTACAAGAAGTACTTACTCTATAATCAGAAGTGGGGGGGGAAGCTCCCTGTAGGTATACAGGAAGAGCCAAACATTTATACAAAATGCTCACCTGTCACTTTGGCCCGCACGGGTTCCGGCTGCTCCTTCTTATTCCTGCCAAATATTAAATCCATGGCACGGGGCGCCGGGGAGACCGACAATGACATCGGACGGACGGATGCTCCCGGGTCTCTTTCCTGCTCTCCTGCCCCTTCCCTCCGTCACATCTCCGTCCCTGCGGATGCCACTTGCTTCTCCCTTTTGCTTTTTTGCCTTTTGGCCGGCGCCGATTTTCCCTCTCCTGGGTCCTGGTGTCTCCGCACTCCGGGGGAAGCCGCGCCGCTGGCGTTATTTTTACAAGACGCTCGGTCAAAGGTCAGCTCCCAAGCCATGTGTCATAACTAATCGTTAATCCTCTTATCTCTCCTCCCTCTCCCTCCACTCCCTCTCCGGTTTCACTTTTGGCTTAACCCAGAAAAGCTTGATTCTGGCTGGTTTTCTACACTGGCGGAAAGAATTCACTAGATTCGGTTTAGTTGCGTTGTCTGAAAGAAGCCACCCCAAGAGCTGGGGACGGTGACGATCCATCAGGACAAAAAGGGAGGTGATCGGGACGTCACAGGCGCCAGGAATCAGGGGAGCCCCAGCTCGCTGACCTGGGCCTTGGTGAACCTCCTCAGCAGAGATGGGAAGGGTGTTATCGTTTTTTGTTTTGTTTATAATAAAGGCTTCTGATCCTGCCCTCTAAAAATCGTACGTAAAGAGCAACTTAATTTTTCTGTGTACTTTTTTGGAAGAAGGTGATACAAAAATGTTTCCTGTAGCCATTTAAAAATAAACACAGGGAACCAAAGATTTTTCTCAGGAACTATGAAGAATAGTAAAAAACGAACTCAGTTCAACTTATTGGGCTATCAAGAGGGCAAAACATAGCTGGGCATGGTGGTGCATGCCTGCAGTCTCAGCTACTCGGGAGGCTGAGGCAGGAGGATTGCTTGAGCCCAGGAGTTTGAGGTTGCTGTGAGCTAGGCTGATGCCACGACACTCTAACCGGGGCAACAGAGTGAGACTCTGTCTCAAAAAAAAAAAAGGGCAAAACAACGCCTATATTTGACTTTAGAGTTTCCCTATATTTGTGTATATTGATGCGATGCTATTGCTTAAAATTCATCTTCAAGTTGCTATGAGCACTACTAAGTGGAGAGTCAACGAACTCATCTGATCTCATTTTGCTTAAAGAAAGAACCAGCCATTCCCTCTATGCGGAGAGTAAGAGAAAAGGCCGTGGTATGGCCTTTATGCAACCCGGCTGAGAAGAAGGACTGTCCGGTCTGGGCCGAGACCACGCTTCCAGACCTCAGAGCTGCTCCTTCCCGAGAGCAGGGTCGTCTGGCCGTGCTTCCGCCCCTGGTAGCCTCTGGATCACCCGGTTGGGAATTTTAGAAGTCCCAGTTCTGAGCCCCACTCCACACCCACTGGCTCGGAATCTCTGCAGGTGGAGCCCGGCCACCAGTTTGTAGAAAAATGTCTCCAGATGATTCTGCTGTGTGCAGGAGGAGTTGAGAAGCCCCGATCCAGAGGAAAGATGCCACAGGTTTGGGCTGATACTAGATTCAAATTCCAGTTGTCCTTCTGTGTCTGGGCCATGTTACCCTCTTAAGCCTCCTTTTCCTTAACTGTGAAATGGAGTGTAATGATATCCGAATCTCAAAGCTATTGCATGGTAAGTTTCTTAGCAAAAGCGTCTGGCCCCCAGTGGTTCCAGTCAATGTCAACCCTCCCCCTTTCCTCCCAATTCCCTTAGAAGGCACTTCTCTTTGGCCAGCATCTCCAGAAACTCTCCCAATAATTGTGCTAGTTTACCCTGCTGCCCGGTCTAAACATTTATATCCATGTCGGAGTTCTTTACTCCCAGCTTGGGAAAGCTGCGTTCTTTCGAGGATTAAATGAGAATGTCTGGCGCACGCCAAGAGCTTGGGGGGAAAAAAAAATGACACCACCAGGGCTGGAAGAAAGAGCTCAGGGCTTAGAGGTCAGAAGACCTGGGTTTGGGTCTCAGCCCCGAGATTTGGCAACTCTGAGACTATTGTCACGTGACTTCTCTGAACCTCGCTTGCCTCGGCAACTCGGGGACGGCCATGTCCATGTCACGGGGCTTGTTGGAAGGGTGACAATAAAATCACATGAATGAAAACATGACCGGCATCTCCTTTCTTTGTGCATCTTTGTCTATTCGGACAGGCGAAAGCCACACCCGTGGAGCACTTTGCTTGGACCAGGTCGCTCTGGCCTTGTGCGGTCCTAGGACATTCTCAGCACCGCTCTGGAGACCCGAGAACTCAGGGAAGAGAGCCAGCTCGCCCTAGGTCTCACGCCAACCACGAGATGGGGTTAGGACGCAGAGCCGGGCAGCCTGACTTCACAGCACGTACTCTGACAATTCCATGCTCCTCCAACGTGCGATGGATTTTATTTGCTGGATTTTATTGAACGAAATAATGGGTGAATGTGTCCATGGGGTAAACGGACCCCGAAAAGGCCAGTCTGGGCCTGGTGTCATTGCATTATTATATAACACCAAGGATAAGCTCGTTCTTCCAGGTCCCAGCTGCACCCCAGGGACAGTTACATAGTGAGAAAAAGGTTTTTTGATAACGGTGGAAATAAATTGAGTGTAACAATAGATATCTCTAACGTTAGGGTGGAAACTCACAGGTGCCCCTCTTGCCGCGGGGAGAAAGAATTCTCATGCAGTATTTAACCTTCCTCCTTACAGAATGTAAAAGTATTGTCCCATTTTCCCAAGAAAACGAAGCAACAGAGAAGAAGAAGACTGAGGGCAGTGGCCCCACAGCAATACGCCAGTAATGACCACGCGGGCAGTCATGGGGAAAAAAGTTACCCTGGTGCCTTCAACCGGGTAAAAAATGCATCTTTTTTCCCCATCTGTTCAGCCCAGACCTGATCACCAGAAGTTGGCAGTACGTCTGCTGTAGGTATTTCTCTTTTCCTGAAATGAGAATGTCTGGCGCACGCCAAGAGCTTGGGGGAAAAAAAAAATGACACCACCAGGGCTGGAAGAAAGAGCTCAGGGCTTAGAGGTCAGAAGACCTGGGTTTGGGTCTCAGCCCCGAGATTTGGCAACTCTGAGACTGCTGTCACGTGACTTCTCTGAACCTCGCTTCCCTCGGCAACTCGGGGACGGCCATGTCCATGTCACGGGGCTTGTTGGAAGGGTGACAATAAAATCACATGAGTGAAAACATGACCGGCATCTCCTTTCTTTGTGTATCTTTGTCTATTCGGACAGGCGAAAGCCACACCCGTGGAGCACTTTGCCTGGACCAGCTCGCTCTGGCCTTGCGTGGTCCTAGGACACGTGCATTCTCAGCACCGCTCTGGAGACCCGAGAACTCAGGGAAGAGAGCCAGCTTGCCCTAGGTCTCACGCCAACCACGAGATGGGGTCACGGCGCAGAGCCGGGCAGCCTGACTTCACAGCACGTACTCTGACAATTCTATGCTCCTCCAACGCGCGATGGATTTTATTTGCTGGATTTTATTGAACGAAATAATGGGTGAATGTGTCTGTCGATGGGGTAAATGGACCCCGAAAAGGCCAGTCTGGGCCTGGTGTCATTGCATTATTATATAACACCAAGGATAAGCTCGTTCTTCCAGGTCCCAGCTGCACCCCAGGGACAGTTACATAGTGAGAAAAAGGTTTTTTGATAACGGTGGAAATAAATTGAGTGTAACAATAGATATCTCTAACGTTAGGGTGGAAACTCACTAGGTGCTCTTGGCGCGGGGGAGAAAGATTTCTCATGCAGTGATTTACTTCTCCTACAGAAGTAAAAGTTTATTCATTTTCCCAAGAAACGAAGAGACAGAGAAAGAAAGAGAGACGGAGGCAGTGGCCACAGCACGCAGTAGTGACCACGCTGGGCAGCTGGGAAAAAGCTACCTGGTGCTTTCAACGGGTAAAAATGATCTTTTTCCCCATCTGTTTCAGCAGACTGATCACAGAAGTGGCAGTGACGTTGTTGTAGGTGTTATTTTCTCTTTTCCCTGTGTGGCCGGGTGATCTGAGTCTTTGAAATTTGTTTCTGACAGCAACTGAGGCAGAGAGCTGGAGGTGGGGGGGTTCGCACCCCTACTGTCCGCTTATGGCTCTTCAAGACTGAGAAAGAACTTGCTAGACCGCAGGTGTTTTAATTAAACAAAGGGTAGTTATATTGTGAGGTGTTTTTTTTTTGTTTTTTTTTTTTCCAAAGGGGCAATTATGTGCTGTGAGTTTATTTCCCTTCCTTTCTGTTTGGTCGTTTATTTTCCTCTGCCCGATAGGTTATTAGGAAGACCACCTTTCATGTATCAGCTTGCTGTTGTAGCTATTTGCTGTAAGTATTTTGTTGTAATTGCCATAACAAGATACCGCAGACTGGGTGGCTTAAACATCAGAAATCTATTTTCTCAGTTCTGGGGCCTAGAAGTCCAAGACTAAGGTGTCAAGTTTGGAAGATCAAGGAGGCAGATGTGGTTTCTTCTGAGGACTGTCGCCTGGGCTTGCTGCATCCTCACATGGTCTTTCTCTGCGTACACACACCTCTGGTGTGTCTCCATTCATGTCCAGATTTCCTCTTTCTACAAGGACACTACTTACATTGGATCAGGGTCTACCCTAATGGCCTCATTTTAATTTAATCACCCTTTTAAAGGCCCTATCTCCAAATATAGTCACATTCAGTGGCATTAGGGGTTGGGGCCTCAATGTATGAATTCTGCGAGGTGGAGGGACACCATTCAGCCCATAACCATGTCACTAAGGCATGATGAATTAAGGGAAGACACTGGGGCTGCAAGTAATGGAACATCTGCTGAAACCCCAAAGATATGCATTTATCTCAGACAGCAAGTCATCTGGAGGTCAGGTGTTGGGCCACTCAGAAGCCCATGTGGGTCATTCCCTGGCCATGGCTCCTGCACTCCCGTACCCACAGGGTTGGCTTCTCATCTCTGGCCTGTTCAGTTCTGGTTACAAATGATTTTTCTCATTTTATGCTGGAGGGAAATCTTTCCCAGAATTCCCTGTGCAGATGTTCTCTTACGTCTCATTGGCTGAACCGTGTCACATGACCACCTCTTGACCAATCAATCCCTGGCAAAGAGGAACAGGAGGGACTTAATTTCCTTGAACCAATCTGGAGTCTCCCCTGGGGTGGGACGTTGTCACCTGATTCTTGTCAGGAGTCCATTAGCAAGAAAAAAGGAGAGAAAGGCTTGGGATAGGCAACTGACAGTGCCTGCTACAGGCAGCACAACATTCATTCATTCAACACATATTTACTGAGCACCTACTATGTGCAGCACACAGCAGTGAACAAAACAATTCTGTGCCTTCTTGGAACCGACACCTCCTACACCCCAACTTCTGGGGATATAGAGGTGATTAATGAGACCCAGACTCTGCCTTTTTTTTTTTAATTTTAGAGACAAGATCTCATTCTGTCACCCAAGCTGGAGTGCAGTGGTGCAATCATAGCTCACTGCAGCCTTGAACCCCTGGCCTCAAGCAATTCTCCTTTCTCAGCCTTCCCAGTAGCATGTGCCACCACACCAAGCTAAGTTTTTTTAAAGTTCTTTTGTAGAGACAGGGGTCTCACTATGTT